TTAGTTCTGCCCATGTGACCCTTAAAAATCTAGGCCTCAGTTTAAATGGTTGCAAAAAAAAACAAAAAACAAAAAACAAAAAAAAAACTTTTCTGTCCTTCCACCCTCCCAGGATTGAAGGATTTAAAAAAAAATTTATTTATTTATTTCAAAGAGTTACAGGGGAGAGAGGGAGAGATAGAGAAAGACATCTTCCATTTGCTACTTCACTCCCCAGATGGCCTTAATGGACAACACAGGGCCAGGCAGAAGCCAGGAGCCAGGAGCTTCTTCTAGGTCTCTCATGTGGGTGGCAGGGGCCCAAACACTTGGGCCATCTTCTGCTGCTTTTCTCAGGCCATTAGCAGGGAGCTGGATCAGGAGTAAAGCAGTCAGGACTCGAACCAGTGCCCACATGGGATGCCACATCACAGGCAGGAGCTTTACCTGCTATGCCACTATGCTGGCCCCATGAAGGAAGTACTCCTTCATGGAATCTTGTGTATTACACAAGATTTGTAGAATTTGTCACATAAATATGGTCTTCTAAAAATTTTTTTGAAATGCATTTTGATGTCAAGGACATGAGAATAATCAAAATTCAAATTCTGAGCTATTTCAAATGATGGTGCTACAGTCCACGCTATGCTGCGTGCCCAGTGGTCAGGAGCCGGCAGTGGAGGAAGTGTGAATTAGGGTAGAAGGAAGCTATAGCTAAAACCAAACTTAGGAGGTAAGTAACATTGGCTATAGCCTCTTTACATGCTCATCTATATTTGGCCTTTTACTACATTCTCTTGTTTTCCTCTGGGCCATCCTGGCATTTACTTAAACTTACTAGAATTCAAGTGGAGTGATTGGCGTTGAGGTGGCACAGAGTATAGGTGTCCATGACTCACACCCCCTTAAGAATGGGCCTTACAGGGTCAGGTATCTGGTGTGGCAATTATGACACCTGCATCCCATATCAGGGTGCCTGGTTCAAGTCCCAGCTCTGCTTTCTACCCAGCTTCCTGCTAATGCACACGCTGGGAAGGCAGCAGGTCAAGTACTTGGGTCCCTGCCGCCTATGTGGGAGACCTGTATGGAGTTCCTGGCTCCTGACTTCGTCTTGGCCCAGTCCTAGCTGTAGCTGCCACTGGGGCTAGTGAATCAGTTGATGGAAGATCTCTCTGTCTCTCCTCTCTCTCTGCTGTTCTGCTTTTCAAATAAATAAATCCTTCTTTTTTTTTTTTTTTTTTTTTTGACAGACAGAGTTAGACAGTAAGAGAGAGAGACAGAGAGAAAGGTCTTCCTTCCATTGGTTCACCCCTGAAATGGCCGCTACAGCCAGAGCTATGCTGATCCGAAGCCAGGAGCCAGGTGCTTCCTCCTGGTCTCCCATGCGGGTGCAGGGGCCCAAGCACCTGGGCCATCCTCCACTGCCTTCCTGGGCCACAGCAGAGAGTTAGACTGGAAGAGGAGCAACTGGGACTAGAACCCGGTGCCCATATGGGATGCCGGTACCGCAGGCGGAGGATTAGCCAAGTGAGCCACGGCGCCGGCCCCTCAAATAAATAAATCTTACAAAGCCCCGAAAGGTGAAATGACTGGGCAATGGTCAGTATGAGAACCTAGAAGGCGATGGCCAGGGCTCTGGCTTTAATTCTGGTGCTGTGGGATGGGGTAATATTTAGTTTACAGGTGAGCAAGGGAGCCATGGCCACTGCCCCTTATATAAGCACAGGTGGTGAGAACTATTATCCACTGGGGATACATTCCTGGAATCTTAGGGAGTGATGATATTCAATGAAGAGAGGGCTTCTGTCAGGACTTCCGGCTCACCTTACAGGAACCAAATATCTCTGCTGATGTTTAAATTAAATGTACACAGATTTTAAGAATTCCCCAAGTATGGCCGGTGCTGGGGCTCACTAGGCTAATCCTCTGCCTGTGGCACCGGTACTTCGGGTTCTAGTCCCGGTTGGGGCGCCGGATTCTGTCCCGGTTGCTCCTCTTCCAGTCTAACTCTCTGCTGTGGCCCGGGAGTGCAGTGGAGGATGGCCCAAGTGCTTGGGCCCTGCACCCGCATGGGAGACCAGGAAAAGCACCTGGCTCCTGGCTTCAGATCAGTGCAGCGCGCCCACTGTAGAGGCCATTTGGGGGTGAACCAACGGAAGGAAGACCTTTCTCTCTGTCTCTCTCTCTCTCTCACTGTCTAACTCTGCCTGTCAAAAAAAAAAAAATTCCCCAAGTATATAGAACCTTTTAATAAAAAATTTTAATTAAAAAAAGGGTTCTGCTGGCTTTTGTCTGCCATCCTAATGAAAAAACTCGGTGGAAACTATCCAAGGCCAGAAAACCAGGAATCTAAAAAGCCTGATCTTCCAATAAGGTCAGATAACAGTGTTAAATGTCACCTGCAGTGATCATGGGTCCCTCTGTAGCACCTGCAGCTCCACATGGGGGCCCCTGGAACTAGCCCCCTTGTGATCTGTTGAGCTCATTTGTGGGTCAGCAGCCCCCTTCCTGTGGTACAAGTGTGGGGAGGGGGAAGAGTTAAAGGAGAGCAGAGAACTGGAGTCTCCGGAGAGGAGGCCTGCCAGCCAGCCCCGAGGTCCACAGCTTTCCAAAGCACGAGTTCACAAAGCATCAGAGAGACAGGAGTGAGTCCCAGGGCTCTGGAGAGAGAAAGAAGGAAGAAAACCATTAAATAAAGGAGATAGAGGGTAGGAATAAACCTTAGAATTATTCCCCATCCATATTAAGGGCACCGTTTTTACTCCAGCAGAGTATGAGCCTGTCAAAAGCCTCTGGAAGACCAGCACCCTGGGACTGGGGAGTCTGGGCTGTGGTCTGGCTCTATTAGACCGGGGGACTCTGGCCAAGCCATGAGACATTCCTTGGCCTGAGATTCCGTCACTGGAAATACTCCCTGTCCTGTCTGCCTCCCCAGGTTGGTGGGACGATGTGATAGTGGACATGACCTCCCTGCAAAACCCGTAACGTACCTGTTGCACGCAAGGTTATATTGTCCTGATTCTCACTACTAGCAGCACCCCACCCCAAATTATTTATTTAAAAGAGGAATATATAGGGAGGGAGAGACAGAGGTCTTCCATCTGCTGGTTCACTCCCCAAGTGGCCACAGCTTGGGATGAGTTAGGCCAAAACCAGGATAGAGAAACTTCTTCCAGGTCTCCCATGGGGGTAGTAGGGGCCCAGGCACTTGGGCCATCCTCTGCTGCTTTTCCTAGGCTGTGAGCAGGGAGTTGGATTGGGAATGGAACAGCTAGGACTTGAACCACTGCCCACGTGGTTTGCAGTCGGCAGCTTACCTGCTACACCACAGCGCCGACCCCTACTACAGCCCTTTAGGGAGGTGGCCTGTGGGTGGAGAAGCAAGGCACTTGGAAGATCACTTCCTTCTTTGGCCATCACTCTGCACAGCCCTCTCCCTAGCAGGATAAGCTTTGAGTGGCAGGGGGCAGAGAATGGTGCAAGTGTCCAAGAAGGCAGAGCAAGGTATTTCCATCAGAGGTTCTGGGCCCAGCAGTCCTAAGGTTGGCAAGTGCCTCCTCACGCCGCACCTAAGTCTCTCCTTGTATTATTGGTGCTAGTTTTCTCCAGATCGGCCTCAAGAGCGGCTCTCTACTTGCTGAAATGTATCATTTCTAATATTTACCCACTGAAAACACTCACTGTTGAAGAGGGGGACCCCAAGTTGCCAAAACGATGATGTCTGGGGCCCGGAGTCCAAGTGCAATAAAAGCTAAGCATCTGTTTCTGGAAGGGGCCAAGGGCAGAGTCAGCTTCTGGCTCCTTTCGTCCATGAGGCTTCAGTGTCCTCCCACTTATCCCAGACGCAGGTCCTTCTGCTCCGTGCATAACTGTTCTAGGGGGACGGCGTGCGTGTGCACTATTTTGGGGAGAAACAGTTACATCTGTATTGAAAATGTTTACATCGACTGAGATCTGCCTTAGTGCACCAACACGCCGAGTGTGCTTTTCACAAGGGAAGGCGTTTCAATCAAGACCAAGTGCGGACAGGGCCTCTCCGCCCCTCAGACCCGCCGCCGGGGTCTCCTCCACCTTGCAGGTTCCTTCCTTCTCCGTGTACGTTAAGTCCTTTTCAGTCACGGACACGCGCTCTTGGCTCTGGACTCGGATAAATGCTGCCCTGTTAGCTAATAGTACCATTAGTTCTATTAGCGACTAATAGCTAATTAGCCACAATGCTGAGGTGCAAGGCTTCCAGCACACACACGCAGCCCCGTTCCTCTTCCCGGCCACCTGTTTTTCTGAACGCCTTTCTCTTGGCCGGCGGAGGACCACTACGACGGTCGGGTCACTCGCACTGCCCTCCGGTGCGTGACACGGCGGCCCGCGCCCAACAGGCTCTTTCTTTATTCACTAAGCCAACGGCTCTTCAAGTTCCAGATCTCACTTCCACCTCCTGTCGCCCATCTCTTCGCTTTACCGTTTTCTAACCCTGACCCACCACTTGGTGGAAACCAACACCCACCTCCTCGGCTGCCTCCCATTCTCCACTTTGGCTTCCTTTCAGCAACCACGCCCCCCGACCCCAGGAGAGCGGCGCGCATGCGCAGCGCGCGCCTTTACCTGGGCGCCCGGGAGTGGGCGGAGTGGGAAGGGGCGGGGGCGGAACCGGGAGTCGGCGGTTATCTGCGCGGCTGAGCGCTCACATTGTGGCAGGAGGGAGAAAAGGTGCGCCTGGGCCGGCTCCGAGGGCTGCGCATGCGCGCCGCTGCTCCCCGCGGCCGGGATGCCGAGGGGCGGGTGGAGGGAGGCGTCGGATCCCTGCTGGGCGCGCGCGGGGGGGGGGGCGGTCGCGAGGGAAGGGGCCGCGGGCGCGCGCGCGCGCGCTCTCGCCGCCTCCCTGCCCCCTCTCGCGCACATCCACACACGCACACCCCCTCCCCCGCCGGCCCGCTCGCCCTCGCGCGCTCGGAAGGGAGTCGCGAGACGTCGGAGCGGCGGCCACGTAGCGCTGCGGCGGCGGCGGCGGCGGCGGCCGAGGCCGAGGCCGGGGCTGAGGAGCGGCCCTGAGCGCAGACGTTGGGCAGGGGGAGGGGCCGGCCCGGCCGGCGGTTGTTGCTCGAGCGCCGCGGCGACAGGCGCCCGCCGCAGGGATGGACCGCCGCGGCGGCGGCCGAGGCGGCGGCGGCGGAGGCGGCCGGCCCGGGTGAGTAAGGGCCCCTTCCCCACGCACACCTCAGCGTCGCGGCGGCGCCCCGGGCAGCAGCCCCCGCTTCCCCGCCGTCCGCTGGCCCGGGCCGGGCCGCACGGGCCGGCGAAGCCCTTCGCCGAGCAGCTGCGTGCTACTAGGCCGGAGCAGCCCCCATCCGGCGGGGAGGCCCCGGGCGCTGCGCTCGTCTGGCAGCGAGCTCGGGCCGGGGGCACCCCGCTCCTGCCCCTTCGCCCTTCTCCGGCAGACCTGGGCTTGGCTGCAGTTCTGCAGCGAGTCCTCTCGCCCTGAGGCCCGAGGGGAAGCGGGGGCGGCACGGGCTAGCGGGCCGAGGGGAGGTTTGCACCGGTCCTCCTTGCCCTGCAGCTGGTGGTTTTGCACCCACTGCCTCCCCCGCCCTGCGCTTGCGCCCGAACCTCCAGCCCCCGGGGGAGTATTGTGCCGCCTGGAGAGAGAATGCATTTGGTGTGCACCCGCCGCCAGCACCCCCGCACTCGCCCCGGGTGGGTAATGCGGACCTTTCTCCACCGCCAATCGGGCTCTGCTGAGTCTTAGACGGGAGACACCCAAGGCAGTGACACCGCCGTCACATCTGCACGTAACACGTTCATTGTCGAGGGATGTCTGCCGTGGAGAGGACCTGGGCTCCGAGAGTGTCTGCAGGATTTCAGGTTCCATATGCGTGCTCCTCTTGCGGGCGGGCCGGTCTTTGATCCCATCCAGGGCATCCTCCCCCACTGCACGCACACACTTCCTGGTAGCCGAGCAGCCCCTGTCACGGCGGATCCATTGTCAGAAGCGGCTTGTGCCAGTCCGAGGAATGTCCTCGGCCTTGGAGAAGGGTGCTCTCCGCCGCCGAGGTCACGGGCCGCGCCCGCCCGCGCGTGCCTCGGATTGTCCCCAGCTCGTCCCCCTGGTCATCACTACCGCGGTGCGCGGCGGCGGGCTCTGGGTGACACCTGAGTGATGCTCGAGCCCCGTTCGTTTGAAACACCCGGGGTGTGGGGATTTCTTCGCGTCGGCACGCGGAGCACCTGTGGTCGCGGCATCGTGCAGGAAGGGGGGGCCCGCTTTGGGGTGAAGGTCCTTGCGTTCTGTTCCGGAGGGTGGCCAGGCCCGTATTGTTCCGGGAATGGCCACCAGCACACGCTTTGTTGACAACATGTGTGTGTGTGGGGAGGGGGTCGAAGGGCCGCTGCCGCTGGGAGGTGGGCTGCGAGTGCCTGGAGTCCAGGGGGTGTTCCCCAGGGAGGCCCTTTCCGGCGTGGTGCCCTGAGGTTGTCGGTGCTGGCGGGCGACTCTTGGTACCACGGCGGCACACTTTGCATTCCGATAGGTGCCACCTTTCCTTAGTGTAATTTTGCTTAGAGCGATTCCCCACTGAGTGTTGCTGCTCCTGGAAGTGCCTCGTTCCGCGTCTCCTAGACCTTTTTTGTGGGGTCACGGAAGCTTTTGGGCCCCTCAGTGCAACAGACAACTTAATTTTTGAATGCAGCCACAGGCGTCTTGAAGCTGGTCCCGGGACCTCAGAGTAAGACCTGTATTACGCAAAAGTGAAAGGAACTTGAGTTCTGTGTTTTGTTTTGTGTTTAGGGATTAGAGTTCCTTTGGCCCGGAGCAGTAAACAGCAGAGTAGCTTATGTATGTATCCTTGTGTTTGTTCTTTGATGACAGTGAGTTAGGTATTTGTAAGGTATCATTTCCCTGTCTTCCTGTGAAAACAAAATGTATGTGAGAGTCTTTCAGGAGTTAAAACTCAAGTCCAAAGAATTTGCTTAAATTTGGCCAGTTTGATAAGGTGTGTGTTCTGACACGATCTTCTAGTTGTAGCAAATTTCAACAGCAAAGTTTGTGCGCTCTTTTATAATGCCTGGTTGACAGTGACCTCTTAGACGAAAGCTTTGTCATTTCCATAGCAGAACAGATGTTTTGTGAAAGACTTTTTCTAACTATCGAATATGATTTTATGTCTGTATTAAGGGTGATAATGTCATCAAAATCGTCCATTTTAAAATTCGATTTTAAGGGAAGATTTTTAATTGTAGTTAGGGAATTTGGTCTCCACGTTTGGAATCTAGAGGTTGGGGTGACCTTTGTACCATTCTATCAATAAGCAGGTGCTAAATGGTCAGCTATTTTTGCTTAAGTTACTCTGCTTTACCTAGCTTTTGGCTTTTGAACATATTTTAATTGAGACATTTATTCCAGTTTGTGATGGTGGTGTGGTGGGCAATGATGGTAAATCAGCACAGACGCCAGCTCTTGAAGAGCTTGTAATTCTTTTTTTTAATTTAAAGAGTCCTTTGAGACTTTCATATTGTTTGCATTTTGGGGGGTCCTAAGGAGCTGAGGGATTCATGGTATTGCCTAGTATTTTGGGAGGTCAGGGAGCCTTAGAATCTTGCATGGAACCTGTTCCACATACCTGAAGAGTAGTAGTCTAATAACTATGCAGCGTACCCTACGAAGTTATAAAGCGTGCTGAGGTTGCAAATATCACATTTTTATTACCTAATATACATGCTCAAAGCGGCTTGTATCATAGGTTATATTTTTATTCATGTCACACCTGAAGTTTTACTATCGGAAATTATTTGCCTATGCTAAACCCAAACCATTTCAAAGTTGCAAATGCGCTACTTTTCTTTGTCAACGTAGAATGGTGACAGACCATTGCCATCTCAGCTGACGGTGTGCTTCCTTGGCTTGGTATTGCGGAACAAGTCACTTACCTCAACACCCACACACCATGGAGCAGCTGATCATATAACACACATGGCCGTGAGAACAGGCTTCTCTCCTGGTCAGATTCAGAGCTTGGGAGCTGGAAAACAATTGCACAGCAGTGAAGCCCTTCAGGAGCCTCGGCGCCAGCAGCTGCTGTGGCTTCTCCAGCACCCTCCTCCAGACACTCTTCCCTCAGGAGGTTTCAGGGCCGCTCCGGCGCAGGGGAAGCAGCTCCCACTTTGTGCAGCCGGTGGCCTCCAGAGCTGATTCGTGACACCCAGAGCTGTTTCCATTTCTGCTCTGAGTGTGGGAAGTCATCTTGCTGTGTGGTAAGAAAATACTTTTCAAGTCCGTAGGGGAAGAGAAGCCGATTAGTAATGCTACTGATGTGATTTTGTTTTTGAGTGTCTGAAGCCTATCGAAGAAGCAAATGGTAATGTGAGCTATTTAAAAAAAGAGCCACCCTTTTCTCAGGGGTTTTAGATAATTTTACTAAAAGTGTGACTACTCTTGAGTTTCATTTCCCTTGTTCTAAAACGTCAGTTGAGAGACAGCCAAAAAAAAAAAACACCAAAAAAAAAAGGATTGTCTTGTATTTGAACCGTAGCCTTTGGAACTAGTTATTCCAAAGGAGCTCACTGCACCTCCTCGTTGGAAGCTCTTGGGTCTTGTGCACTGTTTTAGCTAGCTTTGGGCTTTTGTCAGCTGATATCCTTTCAGACAGTTGGAACTTGAATTTACTTTGATAGAGGTGAACTGGTGTTGCAGCTCCTGATTTTTGCTGAAGGGAGATAGTTCTTTGGAGCCAAGTGGAGCGAGGTTTAAGTCCCAGCTCCACCATCTATTGGCTTTTACGTTGTTGAGCAAGTCACCTTGACCTTCCCGGCCTCAGTTTCCTCATCAGCAGAATGAAATTTGATAGAATTAGAGATAATGTAGGCAAGCTCTGAGCACCGTTGCTGGCATATGTTCATATCAAGGACTCAGTAAATGGTAGGATACAGAGCCTGCTGGAATGAAACTGCAGATCGTTTGGCTTATGACAAGACTGGGCGGTCTGGTGCTGCAATCTGTATTCTTTCATTTGGGCAGATTTGAGATGAAAAAAATTGCAAATATTTGGTTTGGAGCATACCTAAGTCTTGCAGGTGCAATGTGCTTATTGGAACTTTGATTTGTTGCTCTATGGCTGGTTGAACTTGGTGGAGACAATAAAACCTAGCTCCAAATGCTACAGTGTTACCCACAGTCTATGCTTGTTTTAAGCCTATTCAGAGCTTATGTGGTGAAAGGCATGTTTTAGGACATTAACGTATCTCAATGAGTTCTGTGTCCAGAGTTGAATCACGTGCAAAGCCTTGTGTAAATTTTCATGGTTAATGCAGCCATAAAGTGCTTGGTAGAATCCGTGGAGACATCAGTTGCTTATTTTAGTTAATCTGTTTGTTTATTCAGCAGTTGTGTTTGATTTTTAAAAATACTTAGGAACATTTTCTTTTAGAATTCCCGTTGCTTTTCTGAGACTTTGATCATGAACTGTTATTAGGGCGGTAGGTTTGAGTACCTTATGCATTTTTACTTTGGTGGGAGAAAGAAAGAAAAGGTTCCTTAATCTAGTCAGATTTTATCGACTCTGCTTTAGGCCTGTAGAGTGTATATGTAGTTCCTTCCCTTAGTTTTTAGCCAAAAACTGTTTTATGATAAAATATGACCCTTTTTTCCTCTTTATGGTGTAAGAGATTGAATACTTTGAAAAGCGAGTTCAGTAAAGGCCCTGCATATACTTTTATCCAATGCCTAGAGCTCCTTTAAAGGCTGACACCTGTATCTCACACCAGAGTACTTGGGTTGGTTCCTTGTTAGTGCAGACCCTGCGGAGGAGATGGTGATGGCTGAAGCAGCTGAGTCCCCGCCACCCACATGGGAGAGCTGCATGGGTTGACTTGTGGGCTGCTGGCCTTGCCTGCATGTGCAGAGTGAACCAGCAGATGGGCTCCATCCAGCTCTCCACACCAGCCCCTTCCCGCCCGCCACACCCTTCCTTCTCCCTCTCAGATGCTTTAAGAAAAGGATTTTTTAGGTTGCTCTAGAATTGAGTTCTGTCATATTTGCAGGGTAGCACTAGATAGGTCTGAGCCCACAGAGTTACCTGGATGCTTTTCAGGCAGGGTAGACCCATCAGTGACGCCTTAGGGTTGGCTGAAACAATCTACTAATCCTCACTGTCTTATTTTCGAGCTACGGGAGGGGCCATAAGTTGTTAATGTTGG